TTGGATTTGCGAAAATGACCAACAAAATCGCAACGCGAAATAAAAATCGCAACGCGATTTAGAAAATCGCAACGTTGAAAAGAAAATCGCAACGTTGAAAAGAAAATCGCAACGCGATATTCCAAGAATCGCAATGCGATTAAGAGAATCGCAACGCGATCTTTTCTGAATCGCAATGCGATTCAGAAAATCGCAACGCGATTCCAAGAATCGCAACGCGATTCAGAAAATCGCAACGCGATTCCAAGAATCGCAACGCGATTCAGAAAATGAGTAAATTCTTTCAAAAGCTATTGTATTTGTTTCTTTCTTAAGAATTTTCTCTAAAAAGATAGTATCCGCGCGGACGTGTCGAAGACACGTATGACCACGACCACGACCACGACCACGACCACGACCACGACCACGACCACGACCACGACCACGACCACGACCACGACCACGACCACGACCCGACCCGACCCGAGACGAGACGGCGGCGGCGGCGGCGCGCGAGAGTCCCCCTTGTTCTCTTTCACTCAACAAGGAAATGGGAAATCCAAGCCTTAAATACTCTTCCCAATAGTGTTTCCAATACTATGTGGGATTGAGCATTACTCAACACTTCAAAGAAAATATAGCAATTTTTGTAGCATGTTTCCCGCTTAATCCATATTTAAAAATATTAAAACATTTTATCATATTAAAACTATATGTATAAGTTTGAATTGAAATGTAGATATCTACAACTCTTTTAATTCTCTTGATAAAATGTTTTAATATTTTTAGATATGGATTAAGTGGGAAAATACTACAAAAATTGCTATATTTTCTTTGAAGTGTTGAGTAATGCTCAATCCCACATAGTATTGGAAACACTATTGGGAAGAGTATTTAAGGCTTGGATTTCCCATTTCCTTGTTGAGTGAAAGAGAACAAGGGGGACTCTCGCGCGCCGCCGCCGCCGCCGTCTCGTCTCGGGTCGGGTCGGGTCGGGTCGTGGTCGTGGTCGTGGTCGTGGTCGTGGTCGTGGTCGTGGTCGTGGTCGTGGTCGTGGTAATACGTGTCTTCGACACGTCCGCGCGGATACTATCTTTTTAGAGAAAATTCTTAAGAAAGAAACAAATACAATAGCTTTTGAAAGAATTTACTCATTTTCTGAATCGCGTTGCGATTCTTGGAATCGCGTTGCGATTTTCTAAATCGCATTGCGATTCTCTTAATCGCATTGCGATTCTTGGAATATCGCGTTGCGATTTTCTTTTGACCGTTGCGATTTTCTTTTCAACGTTGCGATTTTCTAAATCGCGTTGCGATTTTTATTTCGCGTTGCGATTTTGTTGGTCATTTTCGCAAATCCAAAAAAAGTTGGTTAAAATCGTATATTATAACTTTTTTTTGGTCACTGAGGCGATTTTCTCTTTTATTTTTATGTGGGTTTTTGAGGCATAGTGGAGTTGCTTGCTTGCTTTAAGATTTTTTTTTTATATTTCCTTTTTAAATTAACATATTTTCAATTATTTACGTATTTTACATTATGATTTTTTTTTAAACCTTTAAACATCATGTTTGCATGTGGCCATGTTTACTAGTTTTTTACTTTCTTATTATTGCTATCAAGTCCTCTTCTTTAAGTTATATGCAGATATCCCACCTTGAATTTTTATTTCTTTCGTATTAACCCCATGCATGGCATAATCATTTATTACTGCATTCATCATATTCCGACCTAGAGAAGGATAGGGATGGCAAAAAAATTCGAACCCGACGGGGAAAATTGAATTAAACGGGGACGGAGAAAAATCGTTTATGCTAAACGGGGACGGGAAAAACCCGTTTATGTTAAACGGGGACGGGGACGGGTTTAGTAATCCCCGCTCCGATTACCCGCCCCGATACCCGGCCCGATACCTGACCCGATAAATATTAAAAATAATTATTATATATATATAATATTAATAAATTTAATTTAAATTAAAAAATATATATAATATTTATATATTTAATTTAAATATATATACCCGACCCGATACCCGGCCCGATACCCGTTTAAATAACCGTTTATGCTAAACGGGGATACCCGTTTCCCCGCAGTTTTTCCCGATTAACCGATGGGGATCCCCGTTTAAATCTCCGCGATTTTTTAAGCAGGGACGGGTACGAGTTTTTAAAACGGGGACGGGGGACCAATACCCGGCCCGTTGCTATCCCTAGAGACGGACAATATCTTATACCAAGGGGGCAATCTCTGAAATTTTAAGAGGAGTATAATTATAAAATTTTAAGAGGAGTATATTTATAAAATTTTAATAAAAAATATATAAAAATTTAAAATATATGATAATTTTAAATTTTTATAACAGGCGACTGCCTCTACTTGTCCCTTCTATATATCCCTGCTCTGATCTCATTTTTTTTACTGACGTGATCGTCTCTACAACTTCAAGTCACAAAACTATTGATGATGTCGTATAAAACTTAAAATCTTATCAATAGTTTTATCAAACTGACATAATTTTTAATTTTTATTATTAAATTTTAAAAAATTTATTAGACTCCAATTTATATGATTTGATTTGAATGAGTTGAGGTGTACATTGATAATTATGATATTTTCCGGTTGATTTATAATAATTTGATTAGTTCAAATCTTATATGTCCCATTCGTTTAATTGATATTATATATATAAAAGATTAAATTGCAGAGTCCAAACTCATAAAAACATAAGATAAATATGATAATTGAATATTTGAAAAAAATTAAATATCTAACGAATAATTATATAATGATTGATAAAATATTTCTTACAACTTTAGTAAATATATTCAAGAGATATCCTTTTAATTTTCTATATGTCTTCATAATATAGTGGATTTGTTTTCAGGACTATAAAACTCTCTTTATATATAAAAATATAAATTAAAACTTATCATGTAATTATAATAATTAAAGTGATAATGATGGTAAGCAAATGAATCACCGACATCATTATCTTCTTACAATACATTTTATAATGTTTTAAGATGGAAGCAAAAGCCGGCACGGACGGACATTATCGCATGCGTAGCGTTTTCTTCATCTTTTTCTGCCTTTCTATTTACCGAGGCTATAGGCAACCAAGGCAAGTGTATAGCGGCCCGTAATTGAAAATTAAACATTCTTTTGTTGACAATTGCAACGGGAAAAGTATAGGGGGTTTTACAAAGGTAAAAATGCTACCTTCCACATACAGCGCTCCACGTGGCCCATTTCCCCATACCTATGTCTCTGCTCGCGCTTCCAATATTATATTTTAGAAATAAATTTTATTGCGTGAACTAAATGTATTGTTTTAGACTTTTTAGTCACGTACGCCGCACGAGCGGAGCCACACAATGGTCACCTTCGGTCCTCCTCGACGACGGCGTCAAGTCGTACATGCGAAAAACAAAAACCATCCACAGTCTCCTATAATACAACTTTTTTAAAAGACTAATTAGAGCTTAATCTCTTCCTCGAATCCCAAAACCAATCTTAATTCAACGGTTCAATAGATCGATAGCTATATCCTTGAATGTGAGCCATTTCCTTTTCTGCACGATTGGCAGGAACAAAATATTCACACTTGCCATTTATATCAAACCAAAACGATTAAAATATTTTTTGGACGGTGGATAAGTATAAATAATATATTATCTTGACTTAGAAACTCTCTATTTTTTTTTAAATCTCGTGAATTAGATGCGAGTATTTAAATACGTAATTGAAAAAAAACATTAAAAATCTCACAGCGACCTGGTCAAGCCAGCTGGGGGGTGTCTCTCAAAACGCGGCGGTCGACAATTCTAAGTGACCTTTGTAAATAGTCAAGATGGCCATTACTACTATATAAGAATGTTTTAATATTAATAATTGATTGTGGGTATATTTTGACTTTAATTCCTTTTAAAGAAGTGCATTATCATCTACTTTTACATAATATGGTAAAAATAGCACAAATAATGGAAATATGTATAGATTTGGGTAATGAAAAAACCCAAAAAGAGTACTTGAAGGAGAGTAAGGCCCCAATCTATTATATATGTAGCAATGAATGAGTAAAACTAAAAAGTCGAAAGAATCTTGGCTTGATGATGAATGCGTTTGTTATTTCTTATCTTTCCCGTTTCCCTGTTATCTATCTCTTCCAACGTTTACATTTACATTTACATTAATATGTTAATAATTTGAACCAAAGCAAGTACGTGGACATACTTATGGTGTGATTATTAGTCACTAATATGATTTTGATTAAGATCGTGGAAGTAATATAATGTTATCTTGTTGACTAGTCAGTTGTAATCATTAAATTAGTGTTGAGCTTAAAATTTTCTTTATTAAAAAACGATTGTCCGTAGCGAGGCCGGCAGCAGAGATTGACCAGCAAAACCTCATTCACGACTGTTGAAGGCGTAGCGTAGGGTCTCCAAGTTTTACATAAAAAGGAATTATTTATCGAAGCAAAAAACATCATATCATTACATTAAAATATTTTAATAAAAAATCATACTAATCATTCGTCTTTTCTTTTTTTCTCACAACATTTCTTCTTTTCTATATTATTTTATCATCACAATATTATAAATATGATTTTATTTTATACGTTAATAATTAATTTATATATCTTAATAATATTAAGAAAATAAACAATTAATGTGATTTATTATAATTTTTTATTATATTTTTATCTAATAAAACTAATTATTATTAATTAAAAATAAAAAAAATGTAAAAAAGAAAGTAAGAAACAAAGGAGAGGGACAGTTTTTATTCCATCACCTCATCATCATTATCACACTAGTCAACACGTGTCTCGGCCGGAGCTTACCAGTTTGCGGTTGATCATTCCCCTATATGGGCCCCACCACCACCACATCGCCGGCGCCCCCCGCCAGCCCCCTCTCCCTCACCCCCTACCATTCTATTCTTATATAATTCGACTCCATAAACAAACAAAACGGGAAAATAAATAATTTCGTTCATTAAATAAAAAAATGAAATGTTTATTTATTTTGTTTGGGGAGAGAGAAAAGGGAGGGGAGAGAGCAAGTTCTAAGAGAGATAAAGGGGGCCTCTTGTAGATTTTGCTCGCAAAGCCAAAACCAAAGCTCCCTCGCTCTGATTTACAGACAAAATCCAAAGGACTAGTTAACAGCCTATAGACAAAGAGAAGGAGATAAAAAAAAATTAAACGAAGAAACTGGAGAACGCCAAGAACTGAAACAGCAAATCAAAGGAACAAGTGAAAAAAAGAAAAGAAAAAGAGTGTGATAGTATATTAATTGTTTGGCAAAAAGAGATTCATTTGAATTCTTTTTTTCCTTGCCAATCTTCTCCTTATCCAATCAGTAAGTCCCTCACAACATTAGTATTATTATTCCTGTTTCGTTTTCTTTATCAGTCACTTCTTTGCTTTGTTGTTTTTCATTTTTATGTTTCTATTTTATTTACCTCTTTGTGTTTATCCCCTGATTAATGAGATTAAATTAATGAAATTATAAACCGATCTGATTGGATTTTGTTTCTTCTCTTCGTTTGAATCTGACTGTTATTTTTTATTTATTTATTTTTGTTCTTGTTTGTGTTCAATGAAATTCTGAGATCTGGTACTTATTTCTCTTAACCTGTGTTTGATCGTGAATTTGGTTTTTTCCTGCTTTAACAAAATTTGCATATGTTAATTATTGTTTTTTGACTTTTTATTTTCTTCCATAACCTAACATAGGTCAGTTTTTTTAACCTGAATTTGGATGTTTTATTTATTGGTTTAAGTTCATGTTTGATTTGTTTTATAATTTTGAAATTTACACTGAAGCTATTCTTTCTGTTTTCTCTTTCTCCCTGTTTTCTGGAATAGATAAATTCGTTAATCTTGACTGCGTTTATTTCGGGGTGAAAATACAACTCTTGGTTGTTACAGTGATTTGAAAATTTCCATTGTTATTTTGGGAATTTTTCCCGTCTGAAATCGGGAGGGGGACAAAAGAGTCATGTTGAAGGACTGGTGCTGCGAGTCCTGTGTAGTGTTTGCAAGCTCTTGTCAACAAGGAAGAAAGTGGGCTTACATGTACGATGGGAAGCGCCCGCTGGAATTCACTGATTCAGATGGTTGTCGGGAAACCAAGTTGTCTAAGCTCTCTTCTGATGATTCTTCCAGTGACGACAGTAATAATCCCGACACTTCTTCTTCACAAGATTCAGGTGACCTTGTCTTGCTGGATTCGCCTGACCAATTGGATGATGGTAGTAAGAGATCCGATTCTTCCTCAGATATGGATTCTTCACTTATCCACCACTGTCCCATTGGTCTAGGCAAACCGGATTTGGATAGCCAATCAGACAATGACAGCCTGTCAGATTCCGTGGTGGAGTTGCTGGAGGAGCAGTCTGAGGATGTTCACGAGAATAATGATGATAATGGCTTCTCTTATTCTCTAGAGGAAGGTGGTCACCGCATACATGTTGGGGGATCTTCATCTGACTTGGATGCATTAGTTCAACCAATTGGGCAGGATAATGATGATAACGGCTTCTTTAATTCTCCAGAGAAGGATGGTCACAGCAGACATGCTGGGGATTCTCCATCTGACTCAGATGCATTAATCCAATCAATAGGGCGAGATAACTCCATCAGTTGTCTGATTAAGTGCTCGAGGTCTGATTATGGTTCCATTGCCATGTTGAATCGGAGTTTTTGTTCCTTGATCAGGAGTGGAGAGATCTATAAGTTGAGGAGGCAGAACGGTGTTGTTGAGCATTGGGTTTACTTTTCTTGTCACCTCCTTCAATGGGAGGCATTTGATCCTATTAGACGTAGGTGGATGCATTTGCCAAGGATGCCTCCCAATGAATGTTTTACTTTTTCAGACAAGGAATCATTGGCCGTGGGAACTGAGTTGCTTGTTTTCGGGAAGGAGGTAACTTCTCAGGTTATATATAGATATAGTATTTTAACAAATTCATGGACTTCTGGGACCAGTATGAATGCTCCGAGGTGCTTGTTTGGATCAGCTAGTCTTGGAGAGATTGCAATTTTAGCTGGTGGTTGTGATTCTCAGGGTAATATCCTGAGCTCTGCAGAAATGTACAATTCTGAGACTCAGAAATGGGAGACTTTGCCAAGCATGTATAAGCCAAGGAAGATGTGTAGTGGGGTATTTATGGATAAGAAATTTTATGTGATCGGAGGAATCGGTGGAGTTGGGAATGATCTACGGGTTCTCACTTGTGGTGAGGAGTATGATTTAGAGACAAAAAAGTGGACTGAAATTCCTAACATGTCTCCTGGAAGGAACGGAGATGCGGCTGAGATGCCTGCAGCACCTGTGGCACCCCCTCTGGTTGCAGTAGTTAATAATGAACTGTATGCTGCTGATCATGCCGACATGGAGGTAAGGAAGTATGATAAGGAAGCAAACTCATGGTTGACTATTGGAAGATTGCCTGAAAGGGCAGTTTCAATGAATGGTTGGGGTCTTGCTTTCAGAGCATGTGGAGATCGCCTTATAGTGATTGGTGGACCTAGGGCTTTGGGTGAAGGTTTTATTGAACTCAATTCTTGGGTTCCGAGCGAAGGCCCTCCACAATGGTATTTGCTTGCCAGAAAACAGTTGGGTAACTTTGTGTATAATTGTGCTGTGATGGGATGCTGAGAGATGGATTTTGGTGGCATCTTGTGCAGTTGAACTATGTTGCACTGCCACCAGGGTTTGCATGGTTGTTTTTTCCTTCAACACAAAACTTCAAATTTTACTAGTGGTAATTTCCCCTTCTTTCGTTTTTACATCTTTTCCCTTTCGGATGGGAGATGATGGGGAAGAGTTTCAGATAACTCAAGATTCAACTGAACGTTTTATTGATAGGATGTCTTGAGTTCATATTTCCTTTGCTTCACCTCATTCAAACTTTCTTCCATTAAATTTGTGTCTTCCCCCGTTTTCAGTGACACGAGAACTTGCAAAGGCTGGCTTCATGTAGCACAGGAATAGGTTTAATAATTTGAAGTACCAACACATTGGTAGGTTTCCATTAGAGCTTGCTGAAGTTTTTTTAAGAACACAAAACCAGTCATATGAGTTTCTTCTTCCTTAATTTTCTTGGAATTGTCTTGTGGGAGGAAATAAGTTCAGGAGGTGGTTATCTTTGATGTTGGCTGATGTACTGATTACATCGATCATTACAATTGATGAACTATATACTCCCAGAATTTTTCTTATTTACAAACTTTGGAATCCTTTATTGTTTTTAGTTTCTTTCATTCAGCTGGATGGTGCCAGTTTCTCCGCTTGCTTGACTCGCCAATTCATACAATATTCTATTTTCCCCATTCTTTCCCTTTGTTAGTCTGAAATATTGGTGACGATGACTCTTTTTTACTTTTAATTATGTCAGAAACATGTAATTTTTAAATTTAGCTATAGCTATAGATTTTTTCCCAATTTGATAATCTTGATAAATATAATTATATTCATTGAATTAGCACATACCGTAGTATGATTCCTAACCTAACCGAGAACTTGTTCTGCAAATCAACCATGCAGTTCTGTTTATATATCTCATTTCATTAGAAATAGATATCACAGTAGAAGCTAGGTAGATGTTTCTCTGAGGGGGTGGGGGTGCAAAGGAACATTACTTTTAGAAGCTAGGCTTACCGCAGACAGTAAATATAAATATATTGAATGCAGTATGTGTCGATTTGACGGAGTTGTGGAAACCAAGTCCTTTCTTTAGTAGAGACACTCGTGGTATCTAACTCTTGGCTTTGGTGTGGTTGATACTAGGTCAATTGCTCCGAGTTTCATTCTTCTTGTATGACTTGTGTACTGTGTTTAGATTTGTTTTCAAAACCAGGCAGCTTAGAAAAAGATGCAACGGAAGGGATTTTTCTTATAGGCATGGAAGGAGGTACTGCGTTGATTTTTGAATCCTTCCATTTAACAATGAATATGGTGAGCCCGTTTATTGTGAAAACAGTGTGTGTGTGTGTCTATGCTTCAGCATTTAACTCTCTTCGCCCTCTATAGAATCTAAACTAGCCGTTCAGTATCTGAGAAGTTTCTTTGATTTGATATCCTCGAAGTAAAGAGTAAAGTGGTTTGCCTTGCCTTGTTCTATCGTGCCGGCCATGTTTGGAGTTTCAGTGATGTTTTTAGTTTCCAGATTCATGCAATGTTATTGAGTACCAAGCCACAAAAAAGTAGTTCTATGGCTCTAGTGAGAGCATGGATTATATGCACATGGTCTGTATTTAAATTAGACAAATCCCTAGGATTGTGCCGACAAATTTGAGCTAGAGCTAACCCTGGACCATGTGGGCTCAAATCTTTGATTGCCTCATCATGATGAAACCATTGGCCTCGAGGACTTAGGGCTACCATTATCATGTTTTCTCATTATTTGTTTCGGGTAAACCAAAGTAAATTTTGCTGAGAATAATATCGGTCGAAAAGAAAAGAAAGAAATGTACTACGGATCTGGTCTGATAAAATATCAAATATGAATTTGATTCCAAACAAAATTCGTACGACAAATATTGCCGACATTTAGCTGCGTACGTGTTCCATATGATTGTATAGTGCTTAGAAAAGTTATTAGCACCGCCCAATTTGTTGAAAAGTAAATAAATATTAGTTATTTATATAAAATAAAACGTCCCAATATTCATTTCATCAATAGTTTTACCAAGTCAACTTTAGGCCCTTATCTTATTTTCAGAAAGTGAAAGTAATGCAGCTTTCCGCTCTCTTATATGTTATCTTGCAAGAACAAGAACAAAATATAATATTACATATCGACCATTTTAAAGTATTTGACTATTTGATATTAATAATTTGATCGAATTTTAGGTTAAACAAAATCTTTTTTTCTTATTATTAATTACTCTACTTCTAAACTTTATCATCTTTCATCTTTATTTTTTTTCTTTATAATTTATGTCAATTTTATTGATCAATTTAACTTTTTTTTCTCTTTAATTTTGTTTAACCGACGGCGGCACCAATTTTAATGTTGGTTGCCGCCAAGTCGATTATTTTTTTTAATTTTTTAATAAGAATAATTATGTCTTTATGACATGTTTTCTGTTTTTATGGCACGTTTATCTTTGTCTTTTGGTAGTTTACGATTTTTTAATATTATTTTCATTTATATTTTTTCTCATAATTAAATTTAATTTCGACATGATTAATTAAGATGACATTTATTTATTATCATGATAATAATTTTTACTTTTGACACTCAAATTGATTTAAATACACATTTTGAATAATTTTTTTTATTTATATGTAAACTTCAAAGCGCTTTGATCGTGGAACATTGACATTGATTCATGTAGTCATTGGATACTTTGGTTTTTTTTTACTTTATTTCGGGGTAAGTTTTTGTTCGTAAATGGTCCACCATATCTTATACGCTAAGCTAGAACGTGGGAGCACGCTCCATGGTCATTGGTAAGCGGTTCTCAGATCCAATCACAAAATTAGCCAAAAATAAAGAGAAAAATAGTTCTTCCTCGGTGTCATTTATGGTCGATTTTTCATGTAGTTTTAAAAAAAGTTATGTAAGAGATATATTGTAAAAAAATTAAAATGATAATTTTATTTAAAAAGTTAAATTTATTTTATTAGAAAACTAAGAAAATATAAAAAAGAAAATGTGTCTGATAAAAGTTAATTTTTTTAAAAGAGCAATTTAAATGAAATAATTTTAAAATATAAAAGGAATAATTTTAATGGGGAGAGAGAGTAAATGCCAAGGCGACTTCAGGGACAGAGTGGGACCGATGATGGTAAATAAAAAGAAAAGAAAAGGAAGAAGCAACCGTTGATGTCGCTGTTTGGGCAGTGATGGGGTTCGAATAAAAATTCATGATGAATGTCGTATTCGTATGAGATGCTCATCTTTTCTTTTAGGGTAAAGTATAGTACTGGTCACTGAACATTTTTGAAGCTTGCATTTAGGTTCTCCAACTTTTAAAACTTGCAATACAGTCCCCTAACATTTATTCCGTTTACAATATGGTCCCCCAATTTAAACCACTATTAGAAATTAGGGTAAATTATATAAAAGGTTATTGAACTTTTTAGACACTTGAATTTAGATCCCCCAACTTTTAAAACTTGCAAAATAGTCCTCAATTTCATTCTAAACCCCAATTTCCAAAGTAATTCAATTTCATTCTAAACCCTAAATTCCAAAATAATTCAATTAAATTCAATTATGTCAGATTTATTATTATTTAATTTCATCTTATTTCATGTGATACGTATTTTTTATATAAATATAATAGTATAATTCTTATCTGTTGAAGAAATTTTTTAATTAAAAAAAGTAATTAGGATATAGAAGAGGTTGAAAATAATTCGAATTTTAAATTTATAAAATGTTATTTTGACGTATAAATAAAAGTGTAAACTACTAGGTTGACAACTTAACTATCTAGCCATTTTTTCTTTTGTCATCGATCTTTTAAATTTATCAATCATACAACATAATTATTTAACTGTTTCAACTAAGCCACTAGTCGTTACCAATTGATACAAATGATGAAGTGGCAGTTAAAAGGAATTGACATTATTATACATTTAGTCTTTATTATTTATATAATCAATTTGGTCCTAAATTAAATAGAATTTAATAAATTAATCATTTAATTAGGATCTGACATGTGTTAGCACATGATCATGACACGTGTCATTGGTGACACATGTCACCACCTAATTATTTATATATGCTATCAATTTGGTCCTAAATTAAATAAAATTTAATAAATTAATCATTTAACCAGGATCTGACATGTGTTAACACATGATCATGATATATGTTATTGGTGACACATGTCACCACCTAATTAGAAGAAAATTAAGTTACAAAGAAGTAAAATTTGGGTCTTGGGCAAACTCAAACCTGAGTCACGCAAATGAAAGATACAGGGTGGAGCCACTAAGCTAACACCATCGTTTGTGTTAAGAGATATACAATAATACATATACTAATAGTATGACCAATGCCAGAAAAAAAGAATATAATGGAAAATGGAAATAATGAGATTTGAACTTCGGCAAAAAATTTGAAAGCAATAAATGATGGGAAAATATTATATTTTTTACAAAAAAATATTATATTTGATAAATTGTTTGATAGATTTAATATATTTTTTAAATATTAGTTGATACAATATTTTAAAAGAATAAATTTAAGATTTATATATTTTTAAACTAAATTTAATAATTATATTTTTCATATTTATAATTCATGATTATATATATGATCTTAAGTTGAGTATTTCTAATATAATTAATAATTTTAATTTCTTATTAAAAATAAAATATTCAAAAAATATAATGATTCATACATTAATATATGAATATATTTTTTTATTTATACATCTAAATATAAATATACATTTATATAAATATATTTTTATTCGTATATTGAAATATTTTGATTAAAATATAAACATATTTTAAATACTAGTTTATACAAGAAAAATAAAATATATCAAAAATATAAATGATTCATACATTTAAATATAAATTGAATCATTTATATTTTCTATACATCTATATTTAATAAGAAAATAAAATTATTGGGGGACTGTTTTGTAAGTTTTAAAAGTTGGGGACCTAAATTCAAGTGCCTGAAAAGTTCAATGACCGTTTATATAATTTACCCTAATTTTCTAACAGTGATTTAAGTTGGGGGACCATATTGCAAACGGAATAAATGTTAGGGGACTGTATTGCAAGTTTTAAAAGTTAGGGGACCTATGTGCAAGCTTCAGAAATGTTCAGTGACCATTACTATACTTTACCCTTTCTTTTATGATAATATACGGCGCATGAAATGATGATCCCTATTCACAATGATCGTAAACGTAGTGTGATCCAAGCGAATGAAAACTTGGTTAACAAACTGCTTAGGTCACTATTCTCCGTACATATGAAAAGAAATAAACCATAGTCCTTGCATGTTTCACCATATTCTTCTACCAGGTGTACAACAAAGCTAACAAAATGCTCTAAAGAAAGAAAACGTCTATTAAAATAATCTTAGGATCCTAGAAAAACAAGGTGGGGGCAACGAACGTTAATAAGGATTGCTCTCGTTTCACTTTCTTTCCTACATTCTTGATACCTGCGATTGTATCCTTGATAAAAGCTCCTTTCGTTTGTATATTTTGAAGAACAGTTCTGTTGGCTTGGGTTTAGCTGATAGAAAGAGGTCATTAAAATGGCAATACCAATCTCCTTCAAAAGCTCAAACTAGTGTCCACGAATGATATCATGCCTTTCAAATAATTTTGCCCCATTTGCAGCCCACCACTTCTCTGCATTTTCTTCTGAGAAATGTTTCCGACTGTAGAAAAAACGCACAAAATTATTGAAGGTAGAGCCTAAAGCATACTTATTAAAGTCACGTTACGCTAGAGTACATACCTAAAGCGAACACGACTGAGAACATTACTTCCATTGGGCAAAGGTGACAAAGTTAAGTACACTCCTGCCTCATCTTGTATCATAATCTCCGCCCTTTTAGTTTGCCCTTTGGTTCCATTGGATGTCGATACGTTGTTTGCGTTGAAATTTACTTCACTTGGTACACACATCGTGCCGGTTGCATTGGCGAACACGTGCTCGATGTCTGTGGTACGTTTAGCAACAGAACAGGCATTATAGAGGAGGCCCTTCTGTCCCGGTGGAAGCGTGTCCGTCACTTGCTCCAACTGCAAATCAATATCAGATAAGAGGAAAGTTAGGGGTGTGCGCTGCACCAGAAGAAAAAGCAATCCTCTGCTCACCTCATCAAACAATTTAAACTGTAAGAGCACGAGAGCAAAGAACTCCAACCTTAGCAGTGAGTGACATGATAACTTCCTCTGCTGATTTATATTTTCCAGCTTCAGTTTCTGCTCTTGCAGTCACTTCTTTTAATCGCCTTGACGTCTTTTCAAGCTCAGCTTCGAGATGTCTTGATTTGCAAGTAAGAGCTTCAACCTGCAATAAACTTATCATCTCATCCTTCTTATACATTTAGATAACTTAAACATTAATTGGGAGAAAAAATGAAACAAGTCTCAATGAAAATCCACATCATTATCATATGAAGCCTTCATTGTTGTAAGTTGTAACTGATGAATAAGATTAGAAAAGGTTACCTGTGCCCTTAAATTTATGATCTCTTGGTTGGCATTGTCATTCATTTGTTTTGAATCATCAATAGTTACAGTGGAAGATCGGTTGCTCGACTTTCCTGAAGCAGGAGATGTTGCTCGAGATGTCCTTCTAGAAATTGGTGGTAAACTTTTTCTAGAATCTCCAACTGGATCAATTGGTAGCCTTGGTGTATTAAATCCTCCAGGATGAAAATTTCCAATTTGAGCTGGGAATATGGTCCGATTTTCAAAGTCTAATTTCAGTTCACTCCTAGAAAGTCGGCTTTCAGCCTGACTACTGGAGCCAAGACTAGATAGTCTGGAGAGTTGTGCATGTGACCTTAGAGCTAAAACTTCTTTGTCCATATTCTCATCGAATTTACGAGGAATATTTCCATTTCGTGCCTTAGGAGGCAAGGGAGAAGAAACGGATTCTCCAGATTTTTTCAATTTAGCAAAACAATCATCACAAACTCTATATGGTTTGTTCATAATTGGAGCCAGTGATGCCTTTAGAGATTTCCTCACTGTGCATGATTTGCAGAAGATTAGTCCACAATTATAACAGCTGTGGCGCTTTCTTATGAAACCAAATGGATTTCGACAACCGGAGCACATCGATTGATCAGCACTCGGTACCCATTTATGAAGACTTAGAACTGCAGTAAAGTTGTTACCACAAACTACACTCTTAACTTGCTTATCTTTTAGAAATTCAACAACTGTTGGAGTATCTCTATCATCAGTGTTTCCATGTCCTAATTGCCCATTTGTGCCCTTTCCCCAAGTATAAACCTCTTTTTTTGAAGTCACAACAGCAACATGATGCGATCCACATGCAATATCTTCAACAAATCTACCTGCAATTTTACCTCCAACCCGAGTTGGAACCTTGCCATCAGCTGTACGACTTCCCAATTGACCATAAGCCGAACTTCCCATTGTATATACTTGTCCTGAGGTTGTAAGAGTAACTGTGAGATTTTGACCACAGGCAACCTGGCTGATATTGACATCAAATAGAGCATCCACACTATGGGGTAAAAGTCTAGGTTCTCGATTGCCATGGCCGAGTTCACCTTTATCTCCATCCCCCCATGTAAACAACTTTGCTGAAGAAGAGCTATCAGGAAATCCATCATCAGATGATTCAGTCACAACTGCAGCTGTGTGCCAAGAACCACATGCAACCCTTGTTGTCCGCAATCTACTCAAAGTCTCCACTTTCCGTGGAACAGTCGTGCTACTACGATCTCCATGGCCTAATGCACCAAAAGATCCATCTCCAAATGTGAACAACTCACCTCTAGATGTCAACAGAGCTGTATGCCAAGGTCCACATGATACATAGGAGACGTGCATACCTTCCATGTCACTTACCCTTCTAGGTATCCAATGACTAACATCACTTCCATGCCCAAGCAAACCAGAATTGTGTGCTCCATCACCCCATGTATAGAGATCCCCCGATACCGTAACAGCGCAAGTGTGATATTCTCCGCATGCTACAGATTGAAAATTCATGCCTCTAAGAGTATCTATGAGTTTAGGTTGGGGAACATCTGCATCCGCACCGTGCCCGAGCCTTCCCCCTGATTCTTCCCCCCAACTAAAAATCTCACCCTGCTTTGTCATTATTACCGCATGGCTACTTCCACAAGCAATACCATGCACATCAAGAACCGTTGTTGGTTCCAATGCCTTGGGCATAAGTGCATCGATCTTTGTATTGAACAAACTCTCAACTTTATCCTCACCACCTCCCAGTATTCCCTCACCAACACCTTGTCCCCATATGAATATATCAACCAAGGCATCGACGTCTTCTTTACAAGAACCATGGCTCGATGAACTTACAGCACTTGATAAACTGGCTCTTACTACATCAGCCTCAGAACTTGGATTGTTTATGTTTTCTACACAACTGGCAGCTATTAACCCAAACTCAACTATATCTGGTTTACTTGTGACCTTAATTGAATCAGCATGTGTAACCATGTCAGCAAATGTCTTCCCTAATCTATTGCGCGGCTCGGAGGGTGCTTGAATTCCTTGTGCATCTCCTTTATCCTGTAATAATGCGAAACAAAATACGAAAAATAAATCACCTAAAGGCTATCATATTTTTACATAAAACTAAAATAGAAAAGTAATAATACGTACAAAATGCGGATTGGGTGGGCTTTTTTTGTTTAATTCAGGACTGTCTCCTGATGCAGTAGTATCAGTCCCTGCTTCGACCCTCCACTTGCGATTGATACCATGAGAAACTAATGCCTTAAGACCAACGAACCAAACTTCGGCTTCTTCTTTATCTTTACATATCTGTAAATGGCCAAGGATGGTAACAAATTAAACATAGACGAAGCATAAAACATCTCGCAATCCCATGACAACATTCACCCACCAAGTCCAAGGACCTATCATTGAGTATTAATGAAAACGATTGATACTCTTTTTCAGGTTGAGGATATCGTTGAAATACTGCCTGCAACCCAAACATAAAATGTGAAAAAAAATTGGAATCAAAGAATGATGATTAAGAAACAATACAATACTCACTGTACGCTGTCCAGGAATGATCCTGGAAACATGACTAAGCCTGATATATTTCTCTTTTCTCCGAGAGTACCATATCAATTTAGATTCATCCTGGAAAAAAGAACTCAATTTACCACTCAAAATGAGGTTTTAGATTGATTTATTGCAAAAAGTTTGGATCAACAATCGGAAAAAACATACATTGGAGAGCTTAAAAGGGCAGAACTTGGGCTTCCCTCGACGTCCATATTTGAGCAAGTACGTTCCTTTCTTTAACGTTGTAATGGCCTGCAAATTTTACCCCATTGAAACAGGGTTGTTAATATTTAAAAGAAAACGATTAAAAGATGAGAAGAAAAAGAAAGAAACCTGGTTGATATCCCTGTCGACGACACCATTTCTCTGTAAATCAGCCATTCGAGGTTAGTAATTCAGCCTTAGTGTTTTCCATTTTTGCTCCATGAATACACCACCACTTCACCATGACAAAGCTACCATCTATGTATTTTTTTCACAAACCAAAAGAGGTTCCAATTTCCCTTTTGTTTATACAAACGCTGAATTTGATGATTCCAGCTCCAGAAAGTTGTTCCTCAAACATAGCAACATTCTCCTCATTTCTTCATCCGAAAGGTAGCTTCAATCACCACAATGCCAATGTGATTTTAGTTGCAATTCCAGAAATAAGGGAAACAAAAAAATTACCTTTTTTCGAATTTCTTTTCTCTAAATAGAGAATGTAAAGAACACAAAGACCGGATTTTCTTTTTTCTGTAGTTGTTTTAGAACAGTTTTTTCTGTTTGCCTATGAAAAGTTTGGGTTTTTGAGTGTCGGAAACTGAATGAATACTCGATACGAGAATTGTTTGTTTTATTATGGTTGATTCGTTTTCAAGGATTCTTCGTCGTTTGTTTGTTTCCGACCCAATGCGACTTTGGTTCGTTATGCCATCGCCAGCATTGAGAACTCCCTTTCTCAACTTACTCTCGTTAATGTTTGATTTTGAGAAAGAAAATACAGTTAATATCCAGAATTTTCATGCTTCTTTTAAGTTTTTTTTTTTTATAAAAAAATGGCCTCCGTTTAGAGGAAACATTGTTATTCATTGGGGATCTGGGTTCGAGTATTATATATATTATGGGTGTGAATGATCAATGTCGAAAGGCTGAGATTTATCTTTAAACATATACTTATTAAAAAAAAATAATGGTTTATAGTAAGTTTAAAATTATTTAATAAATTAAATAATAATAATAATAATAAGCTTGCCTGAGTGTGTTGACAATAACCGGCATTTGTTGTGAGTGTAATCATACTTTTTTCATCCTCAATAAACAAAAAATACTCACTTTATAAATATTTACCTTGAAAATGTGTTAAAGTTGATTAAAGTATAGTCTACTAATAAGTATTATTATTTTTTCAAATCGGATCCATGTATTAATTATTTGTCCGTTCAAGTAAGGCAGCACCAAGCAGCTTCGGGAACATGTCGAGTTCTTACAGTACCGTAACATATAAACAAGTAGCTTACTTACCGTTCAACGACTTTGGCCAATGTGAGTTCCAAACTAAAGGACCCAATACAAAACAATGACAACAAAATGTCTGTGTAGTTGAGTTATGAATTATGGCCTTCCTTCTGAGCGACTCCAATTATTGAGTTGTTTAATGAGAATATCATGTACGTATAATATCTAAATCATGAAAAATATAAAGACTCATTATAATATTTTATATAAATTAAATATTAGTAATTATATTAAAACTTTAAACAACTTGAACTAATTAATCATCAATTTTTCTGATTTTACAATTAAAATAACAAATAAAACTAAAGAGCAAGTGTGGAGTTGGATAAGTGTGAAACGCATTAGTGCCTGTGGTTGTAAACGAATCCAGTTAAAGTTCGAGTATTTGATTTGAAAAATTTAAAGCTGAGCTCAACTCGACTCGAAAGCTTACGAGTTTAAAATTGTCAAGCTTGATTCAAGTTCAAAAAACTTGAACTCAAAATATTTTCAAACTTAACTTAATTGAAACTCAAACTCAAATATAAATCTTAAGTACATGAAAACCTTATATGACATTTTTTTGAAAAAATAACAACATGTAAGTGTTAATATTATTAATAATTTAATTGAGAAAAGGTAATATATATATATATATATTGAGTTGTTTGTGAGCTTTTCGAGTCGGGTGTTAAGTAACTCGCTTTGGCTCGTCATAATTTTAGTCAAGTTCGAGTTCAAATCGAATCCATTCAAATTGAGTATTGACCAAGTATTAGCCAAACTTTGATTGAATCGAACTCGAGTAGATTACGAAGTGTTTAGTTTTATTTATAACGCTATGAGCTGCATACAATGCATGCTCGATGAAAAATGCAGGGTGCAAGGATTCAAATAGCGGTCAGATAGTGGTATCGCGGTCGTGGTGGCGTCCGATACCGCTATCGTTGAAAATAGCGGTGTGAAAACAGAATCACACAAATAATGGTTGATCATGGCCGTAATTTAGCAAATAGCGGCCAATTGCGGCAATAGCGGACCGCTATTGACCGCAATAACATTCGTTATATCCGCAACGATATATGTTATATCTGCAACGATCGCAATAACATCTGTTATATCCGCAACCGTGATAAACGTAACACTGCTACAACCGCAATTAAAATTTTTGCGTACTCATTATTTTAAAAACAATTTAAAATTTTGAACTCATTCTTAAAATTTTAGATTCTCCACTGTTTAAATTCCTAAGTTTAGACTCTACGTGTTTTCATCATCTCTCAGTTTAGACTCTACAGTACTATATAGTTGAGCATTGCTGAACCCAGAATAGCACGAATACATGTCCCGTTAAATTAGTAAAATATTATCTTTAAAAAATAATATAATACTGTAAGTACGTGAAAGTAAAACTTAAGAGTTCTTTATACACAGTACGAACTACAAAGAAGGTATCTGAGCCCTGATTACATAATTAAATCAATCATGACTGCCTTACACTGACCTATATGCAACTCAGGTCTTAATTATTAATTAATGCTGCAAAACAAAGCAATCTGACAGCTCTATATAAATAAATATGCAAGAACCAAAATGTTTATTATTTGACTATGTACCGATATCCTAAGAAGTAACCATCAGGCCGGGCAAGTCCCCCAAGAAGAAACCCTACTTATATAGCTAGAGGAGGCACTCTTTTTGAGAATGAGAATCTTCATAGATATGATGCCCAGAAAAAAGATTTCCCAGTTTAAGAAACCTAAAGGAAATCACCATTGTTATAGCCTGCAGCAATTCTAACAACACGAAGAAGAAAACCCAGTTGTTGGGATTTTCCTTTTATGTAGGGTAAAGATTCAAATCAATGTCGCGGTTGCGTTTTCAATCATGTTTCATTTACCGCGATTACGGCCGTAACGGGCGCTGTTGCAAGTATATCGGAAGACAACACTATCACTATTTCTCGGACACTATCATGGTCCGCGTAGGGGTTGCAGTTAAAAGGTTTTCCATCAAAAAATAGAGTTGACCCACGGAGCATGATGAACGGTTCAAAGATGACCGAGTATATAAATATACAGCGATACCAGTTGAGTTGAGTGTGTGTGTGGTGGGGGCATTAATAATAAACCAACCAGCAAATTACTTCCTTATATGAAGAAGAGGAGGAATGATCCTGTTGTTAGTTGGTGATTGCTTACTGCTTTTACTCACCAAAGAGGGCTCACCACTCCACCTGAGAAATATCTCTCCTTCACGTGTGCCCTTCTCTTTATGCAAACCTCAAAGCTGTTAAACTGTGATTAATGCACTCAAAACCTCACCATTTTAGTAAGTATTAATCAGAGAGAGAGAGAGGTATTGGTTATAATGAACTAATGATGAGTTTGTTAGACCTAACCTAATGAAATCTAGTCTCTTTTTCCCTTGAGCCCAAAGGTCAACATTTAACAATGTTGGGTGATGTTGAAAATGTAATTTATACTCAAACCAAAATCGAATACCACACTGTTCATAGCATTCAAAGTCGAGCCTGTGTTGCAAATTGCACGTATATGTACTGCTAAAAAAAAACTAGAATAAAGCATGATCAAGCCATACACTTTGTGATTTGCTCTAATGCCATGACCGAACACTAGCTAGTTGGGTCATGCCTGTTTTCCTCGCCGTGGTGTTGATATGACCCGCTGGCCGGAGACTCGGAAACGTTGGTACCCGGATTCGGTCTATAGGCATTTAGTGACGTGAGGATTCCTAAATGAGTGTCGGTAATAGAACCAAATTGTTGACCAGGTAGGAGAGCCATTGGAGTAGCGAAATTCATGAAATGTACCCCACTAGACATAGTACCCCTATACATATTAGTATTAGTAGATGACGGAAATGTCCACACGGGATCACCGGCGCTGCTCCCGCCGATGACTTGGTTTCCGGGGTTAGTCACCATCCAAAATGTTGTCGGAATCGGATTATGACTTGCCGGGATTGAACCGGCATTAGATTGTATCAAGTAGCTCCCCATCTGATTTTGTGGCGATTCTTCCTGCTCCGGCCTCCTCCTTTTGGCTATACTAGCATCTGCTGTCTCCGCAACGTTGACGCTGGCTTCCCGGATCTCTTGCTTAGCTTGCAAGAAAGCGTTCAAACTAGTGTTACTACTACCAGGAAAGTTCAATGAATCTTCAGACGATAAAGCAACACCCGGAAATAAGACTCTCCTTTGTTGCTGAGACGAGTCGTCAAGGACATTCTTTTGATCCCATTCACTTCTCATCCTCAATTGTTGTGTCGTAAAATTTGGATTGAAATACGTGTTCCTCAAGTGGGAAGCCGACATGCTAGAGCCTGAACTTCTCAGAGAAATATTAAGGGACGTAAAATTAGCAGGGATAATACCTGTCCCCGTAGCAGCAATAACCGCAGGCTCGGCCTGTTGAAGCAACCACTCGATGGTTTCACCATCGGATTTGTGACCGAGCTCTCTCGTTAACTGGAAAACCCTAGCGGCACACGTCGCGGGCATACGGATTCGGCGGCCTCGGCCTTCGACCTTGGTGTGCCTGTCTTTGGTTGAAGTCCTCTTAGGGGGAGGTTTCTTGGGCGGTTCCGGGGTCGTTTTGGAGCTCGTCTCGGCCTGACTGAGTTGTTCTTGTTGTTGTTCCTTGGTTTCTAGGAGCTGAAGAGGGAAGTTTGGCCTGAGGATCCCATTTTCATCCATGATCATGTGTGTGAAAGTGGGATTATATTTTTTTTTGGCTCTCCTGGTACATGATCTGTAGGTGACCCTCAATTCATTCACTTTGGTGGTCTAGTGGGTCATTTCCCTCTTTCTTTTCAAATATGATGTTTTCAATTCCCTTTAGATGGGAGAAGATTGCAGCTGAGTTGTTTTTCTTATCTCTGCAACGACCAAAGAGAGAGATAGAGACAGAGAGAGGATAAGGGAAGAGAGCAAGCTTTAAGCAACAAATGCAATGAGTGAGAATTATAAGGTAGGGCTATGAAGGAAAAGCCAATGATTTTCTTTCTTTCTTTTTTTTCTTTTGGGGATTGGGAAATATTTTGTTTCTTTGGGGACCTGTTTGTAATTTTATACGATATCCATCTATAGATGTATGAATGTATGTGTTTTGTTTTCATCATGATAACAATAAATAAATAAAACCCTAATCTTAACATATATAAGTGTATAAATAAATATACTTTTATTGTGGTTGAACAATGTCTTGATACAGACTCCACGTGCGGCGCTCTTTATCATTCAATCTATAAAGACAATGGTAGCGTGAGCCTCAGGCCATGCCCCATCCCCTTAACTCACACTCTCTCTCTCCATTCTTAAATTTCATAATGTAATCAAGTGGTTCCCATCCATCCAATTCCAGTAATCATTGCCTTCTACCTTTGCTCTTAATTTTTTCTCATTTAAAAAAAATTGTTTTTCAAAGCTAATTTCCATTAATTATGTAGAGAAAAATGATTAATATTGTGAGTGAAAAATCTACTGTGTTGCATGTGAAAAGAAATGGTTTGTGGAGTTAAAACTCCAACCGTGCCATGGTATCAGATTTGTCTTCTTCTCCCAATGAATTGCATCACAAAGCTTACCATAGCATTGGTTAAATTGCAGCGAATAAAGTTGATTTTCTGAGTTATAAAAGAAAGTTGATTTCTGAGTCAATACCCAACACTTTTCAGATCTCCATCTTTGAACATGTGAGTCATACAGTCTGCAATAGATATATGTGGTCCTCATATACCCAAAATTTGCCTTTTCCCCCCATTTTGAGTAGGAGTAGGAGAAGCATTTCATAAGATCAATGGTCTAAATCTTAGGACCGAGTGGGTTGTCCATGATGAATATGTTGCTGAATAAGGTGAAAGAATATAACCCTTTTTTTCATATTATGGTTTTATTATGAGAAACATGCACCCACCATCCATCAAGCATGATTCGAAGAAGAAGAAACGATAGCAAGTCTAACCCATGTGGGTAAGAGGCCAAAGTGTAGCTCAAAAGGGAACAAAAAACAAAGCACATTGCCAAAAACATAGCAACTTTCAGTATCTATTTCAACAACCAACATACCTAGCTCTTATCATAACAATCCATTCCCCCAACCCAAGTACTCTCACCCCAATCGCCCTTCCTTAAACCACCCATCTAACCTTTTATTTCATTTTTTATTATCCAACACACTACTACCTTGTCATTTCACCATGCCAATCATTCTTAATATCATGTAAAGCTTGTCCTAATCAACTATTCTTATTATAAACTCAACAACCAAGTACGGGTGCAGAAATTTATGTTAGGGGTGCGAACAAAAAAAAATTATATTAAAAACCTTAAAGGCTGCAAACAGAGACAGATGTGTCTGAGGGAGCCAAGGGCCCCGACGATTTTTAAATTTTTAAATTAGTATGCATATTTATAAAATAATAAATTAAATCAACTAAGTTGGCACCATCAATTTTATACTTCACTTTCTAAGTTACTTAGCAGAGAGAAAGAAAAAAAGAATTTTCATATCTATTTTTCCATTTCTAAGTTTGCTAGAACAGAGATGCGTTTGTTTGTGGTACTAATATTTGACTGATTTTATTTCTTTCTTTCTTTTTTCTGTACTTTTGATTGAATTCTTTTGGTTCTGGGCCATGGGCGGATCTATGACAACTGTGGAGAATACTAAATGATTTATTTTGATTAATTGTAGAATTTACATGACTGAAGCCGATATTTTGTCGATCATTGAGTTCTTTTTTGCATATGTTGTTCTCATTTGAATTGTATATACTTAAGGATAATGCAGGGCTGGAGCAGAATTTGCTTTTATGTATCCTTATATGAATGATATAATGCCATGATTGTAATTGTTTTGTCCTTTTTGTTGTAACTCAGTAAATGTTGATTTCATGACTCGAGCTTCGTTGTGTTTTGAGTGTTTTTATATTATTGTAATGATTCGAGGCTTTTTTTTATAAAAACACTCAAAACACAACAAAGCTCGAGTCATTAAATTTTATGATATAAAAACACTCAAAACACATCCAATCGGCTTAACCCGATCTAAACCGGGTCTCTTTGACTCCCGAGTCAACAAGACCTGAACCTAGTCAACCTGACATGATCCGTTGACTTTGAAAAAAAAACAATATTTTTGAAAAGTCATATTTTATGGTATTTTGATATCATGAGTCCGAATTCGAAGTCTATTTCCCCAAATTCAATCTCGGTAAGTTGTTTTCCAGCATTTTACCTTCTGATTCGATCTGTTTTATGCAATTAAGCCTCGTTTCTAACGTAATTTTTGTTTATACGTATCCAAGATATTGTGGGAAGTTGGATTTCAGTTTGAGAGTGATCAAATAGGGTTTAAATGTTTGATCAGTGGGGCACAAAAATCGAGGTAATACATTACTACCTTATGCATGATGTATGAAACATGTTGGTATTGGTAAATGCATGGTTGAATATGGTTACATGTGTGTAGTTGAAATTTCTAAACTCGATTCGATTGTGAAATAAAATAAATTAAACTGAATAAGGCTCAAACTACATGTATAGGCACAAGAAGACTGATAAAAATGATTTCAAGTTCAGTGATTATCTATAAAAGCAAATAACCTCATAATCTCTAAATTCTATTTATCCTCGTTAAAAACTTTAATACAAAAACTACCTAATTATCAAATTATGGAATTGCCCCTGAAGTGTAAATTGACCAAAATACCCTTGAAGTGTAAAATGACCTAAAGTAGTTCCAAACCCTCGAATGATTAAATACCCTCAAGCTCTGAAATAAATAAATCAACCTCGAATACCAAAATGACCTAGAGTTTCTATTTCCTGACTGAACACCCGAAGACTAAATTACCGAAGGTACTTTACACTTCTAAATTACTCTAAATGACTATATTATATGACCATGTTAAACTGAATGGAAGTATGTATCCGAATTGTGGAAACAATTGAATTACTCTGGAAACTCTGAAATGATCGGGATAAACTTGACTACTAAATGACCTAAGTACCCTCAATGACATATAATTAAGCGAATGACTTGGATAAGTCTGGAAACGCTAATGAAATTATATGTTGTACCGTCCATAAGGCTTTTGAACCACGAATCCAGTACATCGACATTTCTTGATACTGTTGCAACACAGAAATGAAATAAATGCCATTGGAATACATGTTTGTCTCCCTAAGATCCATTCGATGATGATCCTGATATTGATCAGTTCAGCTAGTGTAATCACTCTTAAGAAGTGAATAATAGTGAAGTACCACTGTCCGAATAATTGACAAGTATCACATTGTTAGGATCTGTAGTTCAATTGGACTCGAAATCCTGGCAATTCAATATATAATCTTGAATACCACAAACCATCGCTCTAGTCTTATTAGATTAAATTACTAAGAATTCTCTAAGAATCAAATGTTCAAAATGCCCCTGATTTCCTCTATAATGGAATCACTCCAGTCATATTTGAAATCTCAAGAAACACTGATGCAAAAGATTCTGAGTACCTTCCTGATTACTTAGTGTCTCCGAAAAATACCCAAATACTATATGATCTTGATAAATCACTTACTGAATGATTGATGACTCTGTTAGCTATCAAACCCCTTTTATAGGGATCTTGATTCTGAAATCCTGTTAAATTACAAAACTTTCATGGTCCCCTACCTAATAAATACCAAGTGCCTCCGAATAATATTTGGATCCTCTAGTGTGTTCCTTATGTGACATGTAAATGTTTCACCTGTTTTAAAACATAATTTTCCAAAATTTCAGATTTACTGATGTTTTGATATACTTTTAAATGAACCATGGTTGCATGATATGTGTCCTCTGATTACCTGTTTTCATTGGAAAATATAAACGTTTCTGATTTATGGATCAGGGGATATACTGCTTACTACTTGAATTGTTTTATTGGGACATTATTTGGGTAGGCTGGAGTATGGAGGTTCAGCTCGGTCAAACTGGTAATTCCTTATATAGGTTCAGCTTGATCGATCTGGTAATTCCTTACGGACCTAAGGTGACCTTTGGGCAAGCTATGAGGCCCCGAGAAGCTTTCTTTGGTAGGCTCTCAAGCCCCAAGGCACTCCCTTGGATAAATCATGGGATTGCATATGGTGTATGGGTAGAGGGCATTTATGTGATTTAAATAACTACATGATCATTTTTACAATATACTACTCGATCATGATTTTTGTTTTTAAAGTTACTGCTCAATCTAATTTCTACTGGTACTATATGGGTAGGTTGAAGTATGAAGGTTCAGCTCGGTCAAACTGGTAATTCCTTATGGCCCTAAAGAGACCCTTGGGTAGGCCTATAGGCCCTAAGGTACTCCCTTAAGGTGGCTTATTTATTGTGTGCTTAGGGTAAGTCCTTATGGATGCAGTTATGGGCAAATTGCATAAATGTGTACAGTTGGAGGGTATTATTGTGGTTTTAAAAATGTTTTAAACTATTAACATTTTTAAAGGATCTATTTTGTTAAAAGAATTGATCCAGTGCAGCTATCGACGTCCGTAAAGGGAGTTTATTTGGCTTGGGTTGAAGAGTACGACATAAGTGTAATTAGGGGGCATGTAGGTTACATTTGACTTATTTTTATACGGAGTCTGGAACTTGTATTTATTTATAAATTATTTTATGGTTTTACACGTTTTAACAAAAAATTAATTTTTCCCGGATTTTTATTGTGGATCGCTTCGGTGGCCCTAATGCGACACCTCGGATCGGATCATCTACATCGGTGTGAGGGTGTTACAATATCCAACTTAATTACTATTACATTCTACAAACTTTAGCACCCAATTCACCGTTTGTCTTCTAAAAGTCATTTTCTATTATCACAGTAAATGCATAGAGAAAGTTATTATGTTCAAGACTATAACGGAAATCCATAAATATAAGGGATCACATAATAGAAGAGATACAATTTTTATACGAACAATTTTAGAAAGGAAAAATCACATGCAAATGAGAAAAAACTAACAAAAAAAATAGCATGTGCACATCCATTACAAATCTTTCTTTTTCCTATTAAATATTGTGTACTGTAAAATGTTCTAAAATAAAATTTAAATCATAAAATGCTATTGAACTTTCATTTAAGGAAGTAATTTGGAACTTAGCAAGTATGTCATCATCTCTCCAACTAATAATAATGGGATTTGGACCACCAGAGCCAGGTACTATTTTATAGTATATGGTAGTTGCATGGTCAAAGAAATTATAGTGTATTCAATACTTATTGAACAATCGGATGGTTAAAATTTAAGTTGTAAGCATATGGCCCCAACGGTAGCATGAAAATGGAAGCAGGTGTGGTTGAAATGGAGGATATCACGTGCCTTGCCATCTTGATGCTTACCCTCCATTTGTGTCTCAATTATTCAACCAAAATTTGTCGGAATGTTCTTCCTACTTTTGCTCTCTCTCGATAAAAATTTAGATAAGAAAAATGAAGAGAGGAAGCCAATGAAAAAGAGAATCCTATCCACGGCTAAGCTGAGTGGGTCGTTTTCGTTTTGGACTTTTCTTCCCTGTCTTTCCCACTTGATTTCTTCTTTCTAACGCACTATTATTATTATTATTATACAGAATACGCAATGATTAAATTTTAAAATTAAACCTAATAAAGGAATCAAAATTATAATTTAATTTGTATATAATGAAATTGTTATGATTTGAGTCGGTGAAACGGGAGGAATTGAAAGGATGTTAATAAATGTGATACTGAATTTCATTGTACACAATTTGAAAAATATACGATTAAGAAAATGATTTATCGAAACTATTAATATTTTTTAACATTTTCGTAAAAAAATTATTTAAAATATTTTTTTATCGAAAAGGTTAATTTTATTATCTAATTTTAGATAGAAAAAGTAATATTTTATGTAACGTCCAATATTAATATTTTTAATAAAAAAATAATATTTTAAATAATACTTTATCAGAAATATCAAAAAAATATATTAACATTTTCAATACCTTTCCTTTAACATTTATTTTAGGATGTATTAGACATCCCGGGTGATTTTCTTTTACCTTTATTCCCCTGGCTGTTGACCATGACATCTATCCAAATCATCACCCCAACATTTCAATCAATTTAATAAAAAGGGAAAACTACACTCGTAGTCTCTTAAATCTTTAGAATACAATTTTACCACCCCGATTTTAAAATTTCTATTAATCATTGAACATTTACTTTATTTAAATATATTAATTTATCAAGAAAAATGGCACTTGGGATTCAATGGCAGCTAACTACACTGATTGAAATAAAAACGAATTAAAAGTTTAGTGACTTTACCGTAAGTTTTTTAAAGTTAAGTAACCAAAATGTGAGTATCCTAAAATTTTAAAGACTACTAATATAGTTTACACTATTGAAAAATCTCATGCATAAAGAAAAACTTTAGGTGAAATTATTTATAATTAATAGGGTAAACAACAATGGTAGTTACTGAACTTTTAGGATTTGGTCATTATACTTTTGAAACTTATATTACAATCACCAAACTATTAATTTGCTTTCATTACTATGATTGTTATTAGATGTTGCTATAAAATGATGAAGTGGTATCTTCTTAAAAAAAATTCAAATTGTCAGTCATTGTAAAAGTTGAATTTTCGACGAAAGAAGATGTTATCAGTAAATTCTAAAGGTATGAAGGTTCCATTTGATCATAAGATTATTATAATTTGTTTTCATATTGATCTGACAATTAATGGTAGTAGATAAAAAATTAGCTTTTAATTTTATTAGACTGTCATCTCATTTCGTTGTTGTTTTTGACGTTGTTTGGTGTTTTTTATCAACTTAAAAGATCAACAAATTAGTCCTATTTTTTTCTCTTTATTTCAAACTCGTCAGAAACCATTCCATTCTCCTCGAATCTCAAATAAATCATAATCAAAATTAAAAGTTAAAATTTCCATATATTGCATTGTAAACCAACCATTAGATTAGCTTTATAACCAAAATACGTCAATCTTCTGGTCAAACGAATCCTTCTCACTATTGGAAGTTCATCAAAAATTGGGCCTTGATTACGACTATAAATTTTGAAACTTCAAGGTTTATTGGGAAGAAGACTTTGATGTGTCACATCTACAATTCTTAATAGCAAATAACTACAATGATCACAACGAAAACGAGTCAAAAATTCAACAACTGTAATATAAATTTTAAAAGTTTAGCAATCAAAGTGAAAACGTCTAGAAAGTATAGTAGAAATCAGTGTAGTATAGCGTAATTAATTAATAAACAAGAGTGGGTTAAACAAATTCATGGTGGGGACCGAACAATAAAAGGCAGTGTTAAGTTGAGGTTTCTAGGAATTGCACATCGCATTTAGTAAATCAATTTTGTCTTCCGTTTTCCATGTCGACGGCTTAGTTACCAATTATGATCTCAAGTGTCCATTCAGATCAGAAGCATATCATGTATAGTTGTCAAAGTTTAAATATCGGAGATAAAGTACAATACTCAAATTTAGTAAATGGCTTAAACGCATGCCTTTTGTTGACTAATGTTTTATTTTATAATTTAGTTTAGGTTAGGTCATGGATCGTTACTTTTGGTTTTAAACATCAACTGATATTGTTTTAATATTTAAAAATGATTTATAAAAATAAAAAATAAATTAAAATAAAAAAATATATTTCTTTCCCTCTCTTCACCGAAGGCAGCAAATCTCATTTCCCTCTCTTCCTGAAACCAGTTGAAGTGATGAATGTAAATAGAAGTATAGTTTAGTGTTTGCCCTCGGTTTCTCGTTTAATTTGTTTGTGTTCGGTGTGTTTTGCAGCCTGATACCGTTACTTGCGATATGGTCTTTGCTCTTCAGCAGAAGGACCATCCAAAGTTTAAGAGAAAGGGCGAAGACCTTTTCGTGGAGCACACATTGTCTCTTAGTGAGGCTTTGTGTGGCTTCCAATTTGTACTCACCCGTCCTGATGGGCGACAGCTTCTAATCAAGTCAAACACTGGGGAGGTTGTGAAGCCTGGTAAGTGCTATTGAATTTGTAAATTCATCGTTATTCATCGTTAACTCTTTCTTCTTACCTATTTTGTTTGATTAGTAACTTGTGAAACTTGCTGTTCCAGATTCCTTCAAGGCAATCAATGATGAGGGAATGCCATTATACCAGAGGCCATTCATGAAGGGTGTCGGAACCGTCTTTCGGTTGGGCCCCGAAATTAAGCTTCGACTTGAATTATTTGGGTTAGAGTCGCCACCGATCATTTATTTAAAAATAAATGGGTTGACCGGATACCTTATAATTTACTTGATCTGCGTCTTACCAAAGATGTGTCGGATTCGGGAGTCGGTTATAGTCAAGGAAGGGTTAGCACCCTTGAACTATCCTTTCGGTATTACGTAATTTCCAGTTGTCTTTAATTAAGAAAAATGTAAATTTAAATTAAGAGGTAAAATAACGATCTCGACTACTTAAAATTGATTAATTTGAAAGCGAACCTTTTAAGAGTCAAAATGTGTATTGGAAAAGGTGATTAAAATTGAAAAATAAAGAAAACGAAATGAAGAACAAAATAACAATAAATGATACACTAAAAGTAACATAATCGATATGGAGATATAGAACATGAAGGAAATAAGAATGAAGACAAGTATGACAACATATGATAAGGTAAAAAAAATGAAAGAATGAAGAAATAAGAAAATAAGACACACTAAAACGGAAAAAGAAAAGAATAAATAAATAAGGAAAGCATAATAAAAGTGAAATAAAATAATATATACAAATGTAAAATAATAAGAGTTAAATAAAATATACATATGTATATATAAAAAAATGTAAAATAATAGCGTACAAAGTAAAATAAATAAAATTAATAAGAACATATAATAATATCAATACCATATATATATAATAGCTAAATATGAGAGGGAGGAAAAATATGTATAATAATAATAGAAAAACTAAAAAAAATGTAAAATAATAGCGTATAAAGTAAAATAAATAAAGTTAATAAAAACATATAATAATATTAATACCATATATATATATAATAGCTAAATATGAGAGGGAGGAAAAAATATATATAATAATAATAGAAAAACTAAATAATGAAAATAAATATAATAATAAAAAAGTAAAGAAATAATAAGATAAAATACAAAATGTATACATGTATATATATATATATAATAGAATACTAAAAACGATAATAATGAAAACGAAAAAAATAATAAAAATAATAAATAATAAGAAAAATGTAATTAAATATATATATATAATGATACGGGCTAAATTGAGATGAAAATAAAATTGATGACCAAATGTCGAAACAAAAAAAATGATGTAAATCGATCGAGAGTCAAAATCGACCTTTAAGAAACGCAGAGGGATCAAAAACGTAGTTTACCCCATTTCCTTCAGAAACACGCGGGTCACACGTGTTATTGGGTCGGGTCGATGGTTCCACGGGTCTGATATATATGTTAAAATTTTTTAAGAAAACTTTCATTTACTCTTCAGAAAGCCGAAGCCCTCCCCTCCCATTTTCATTTCTCTCTCGCCTGTTCTTCATATATGAAGAACACGGCGGGTTTCCAGAATCCGGTAACCATACACCGCCTCGCCGCCGCCGTTGAACGGCGACGACCACCGTTCATCGGCGGCAAAACCTAAAAGAAAAATTGGTTTTTCTGAAAGCCCTATGTCTCAATGTTTTAAAAATCAAAATACTTTTTAAAACCGAGCCTCGAGGAGCCATAGATCTATAGAAGAAGATCTCGGCTCTCCTCACGCTCAAAACCCAAAGAGAAACAACATGCAAGCGAAACAAAGAAACGAACGAGGTAACATTTTTACCTTTTTATTTAGCTTCGAAAATCAGTACAAAAGTTTGGATCTTTCGAGTATTTCACTGTGCCTAATATTCCCTCCCCCAAATCATGTTCAATTTACATGTATTTATAGTCTAAGAATACTAGTCCTAGTCCCGATTTTCTAGCATTTTATTTGGACTAAATCACTGCTTGGTTGGTTGTGGATGTATCCTTGTAACTCACGTCGTTGTGCTTGTTGAACATGCGAGAAATGACTGTGAAAAGAGGCGTGCGGCCGTGAAACTCGGGAGTTGGGACTGCTGCGCGGCGCTGGGTCTTCAAAGGGGGAGAACGGCGCTGATGGAGTGTGTGAAGCTAGGGTTCCCAAAACCCTAGCTGGACTGGTCCTGTTTGGGTCATTTGGGTCCGGCGTGTTGGACCACATATGTGGGCTTGTTTGTGTTTGAGCACCAATTGAGCCTGAGATAAAAAGAATAAATATGTAAATATTATATATATATGAATATATTATATAATATATTATATAATATGATAACGTTTAAATAACGGAATTTAGTGTCTTCAAAGGGCAAGATGTACATTCACTTCACTGTCGAATTCCCTGGATCTCCCTATCGTTAGAAGTGCCACTTCAATCCGATCGTAGCCCAACGTTTAGATCTTCGTGAAGAAATGTTTGAAGTTTCGGTGAAACCCAAGTCGTCGGCCGCTGGTTTTTGTCGTTATGGGCTATTTCCGGCGTCCGTTTGTCGCACGACCACCACTAGTTGACTCGCCGGAGCCTCACGATCAAAACCCAATCGGTGGGTCACTTCGTCTTCGTCGTTTCTGTCTTCCGTCGTGGGTAACCTCTTTAGCGCCGATCAGCTTAAGGCACTCGAGGCTATTCTGCCACCGAAACCAATATGTCAGCCGACTGATATAGAGTTAGATGAGTGTGAGGGAAAGAAATGGGAAGAGAAAGAGGAAATAAATATTTTTTTATTTTAATTAATTTTTTATTTTCAAAAACATTTTAAAATATTAAAAAATTTAAGGTAAAATTTAACTGTCGAAATTAACGGTCCTTCACAATTTGATTCAAATTGAATTACATAATAAAATGTTAGACATTAAATTAAAATAAAAAAATATTAAACACTAAATTAAAACTAAAACATACGTTGGACATATTTTTTACGTTTAAGCCAATATAAATTGTAAAACAAATGTGAAAGAAAAAGTCGAAATTAGGGTGATAAAGATATTTCAGATAAAGAAAATTGCATATTTAAATCAAAATCGAAACAATAAAAAAGTCGGAAAAAATGTGTTTTTTTCTTCTGAGCGTTACTATATCTATAGGAGGGGGACCCACATTCCAGCTCACATAATGAAATGTCCTTCTCCAGTCCCTCTGGCAAAGTTAGTGGGTGGGCTGACAACGCCACGTCACTCTCGACGCTATGATCCTCTTTAAACTTAATGGATGACATCATCCACACCAAAGCCTCACCACGTGGCACCTTCTTCCCTCCAAAATCATAGGGTTGATGTCGACAACACCCTCGACAAAAGATTATAAAAGTTGGGTCACATGACTTTTCAACCACCGTTGCTTTTGGGAATTCCGTTGTGGTATGAGTGAATGTAATTGTTAAGCTGCACCCTAACAAGTCAATCTTAAACAGAAAATCTCTAAATTCTTTGTAACTTACTGTTAACAAATCATGATTATGACCTTTCATCATGGAGCCTGAATAAGGCTGAATATCCGTCGGGGCCTGGAGTCTTGTCATTGCCTTGACTGAAGATGACTTCTTTAATCTCTTCATTGGTAATTTCTTTAGCAAGCATTTCTTTATCTTCCAAAGAAGAAATAGGGTGCACCAAATCTTTAAGAATAGAAGGAGGGCAAACTTTAGTATTAGGATCTTGAGAACCCAATAATTTTTTGAAATAATCAATAAGTTCCTCTGACATATCTTTAAAAGAATACAGTCTATCTCCTGATGATTGACCAAGACTCTTATAATTTATCTTTTGTTCTTGGAAGCAATGACGGAATGAATTTTTTTTGTACATCTGTCACCTTCTTTAATCCAATGCACCTTAGCTTTTTGTTTCAAAAACATCGATTCAGATTCTTCTAACGAGATGAGTTCTCTCTGCAATTCAAGTTCTTTCTCCAAGGGCTCATAACCTTTTAAGGTATGTAGTTGTTGCAATTCAAGTTCAGCTCTCTTTTGAATGACTCTGGCAATAATGTCACTAAAACAGTCATTGTTGAGATTTTTAAGACTAGTTTTTAAACGTTTAAGCTTTGTAAATAAGATCTTCATTGGGTTGCCTTCGGTCTCCAAATTCCATGATTGACTCATAGTATCAAGAAATTTTGGGTGGAGCGTCCAACAATTAAAAAATTTAAAATGTTTGGGTATATTAGCATGGATCTCTTTGCTTAAATTCACCAAAGCCATGCAGTGATCAGAAGGACCCGGAGCCATGAATTCCACATAAAAAAGGGGAAAAGATTCAAACCACAAAGGATTGATTAAAACTCTGCCTAATTTCCGAGCCAAGAAATTATCTCTTTGATTGTTGCTCCATGAAAATAAAAATAGCTGTCCCTTGTTCCCATATGTAACGGGGTAAGGGGGAGGTAAGATAGTAGGCTGCCCCCAACATCAGGTTGAGAGCAGCTACCGTAGAAGACATCTGAATTATGAAATGCTCTCCGTGGGACTCGATCCCACGATCTCAAGGTTAAGAACCTTGTGCTCGTTGTTGCTCCATGAAAATGTAGGACCAAAATAAGGATGATCTTGCAACTGGAGGTCTTGAGTTATACATTCCAAATTTAAATAAAGGCTATCCATAATGAAAAGACTAGAGAAAGGAAAGTATAGACGGATAACTAACTATGGAAGCCGCCGGTGATTCTAGGGAAATATTGTCATAAATGCATAGAGGGATGGGCATGGATCCGTACTTGATCCGATCGGGTCAGTTCAGATTTAAGGTGAAAAATGTTCGATTCAAATTTTTTTACCTTTTATATTTAAAAATAATTACAATTATCTCTCTTTATATATATATTTTTTTCAATTACATCCATATTTTTATTGAATAAAAAAATACATATATTATTTCGAGATGGATTCAAATTTTATCTTAAAAAATTATATCGAGTGTAAATTTTTGTGTAGAGTCAAGTTAAATAAAATATGTAAAATTTTCAGGACATGCCAAGTTAATCGAAATCCGACCAGTGCCGATCAAATTTTAAGAAAGAGTTTGGGGCAAAAGCGTTGTTTCCATAAGAGGACGAATTTATTATTTCTTAGCATAGAATGAAATGAGGGATTTGACATAATTACATCTCTTTCTATACATGAACCATTTTTGGAAGTTTCCACGGAATTATGGATAGTGAGAAAACTAAACTCAACTTGTTTTGATCCAATTCTATAAAATCATTTTTCAAGTCTAAATTCAAAATGGATTTTATAAAAAAAAAGCTTAAGTCTAAGAAAAGGTGGATATAAGATAAAAAAATTCGATCGAAGGAAGATTATATTTTCGCCCTCTCTATATATTTTATGATATCCGCTATAATGCTTTCATATATATATATATATATATATATATATTTAATTACATCTCTATCTTATCAAATAAAAATTAAAAATTGCTCATGTTCAGTACAAGTTTATGCTCTAAGATTCGAGGAAGGTGAACATCACAAAAAATCGAGAGGGACAGGACACGCGGAAGCCTTTAATTTGCAAGTCGAAATCGGGCCAACCAGAAAACCGACTCGACCATACCCATCCCTATACGAAATGCTTCATTTGAGATCTTTCAACCAGCGCACAAAGATGAACACACATCAATACATGACAAACATGAATAAAGGTTCTAAAAAGATATCACAAAACATGGCTATCAAAGAACAGCTAGGCATATAAATATCAAATATTGTTTCATTGAGTGGCCTTTAGCACATCTCAAACAATAGGGCCGAAAAGGCCGCAGTCACTTACTTTGTAACGGCTACCTTAAAGACTTGGACCGTCGGCATGAATCCAGATTGTGCAGCAGGAGTAGGTAATCCTGCACCAACCGCACTAGCGCTTTCGCTCAAGGGACATGCAACGAATAACTGTTGGAAACAAAATGTGAATTACTTTGATGAATTTAATTTTTATATTAAATTTAGAATCTTTTAAATATTATAAATTAAAAGATATTATTTAATTTGAATAATAGTAAGATAATTACTCTTTGAATATGTCAATTTAAAAATGTATTTGTTATCTTTTTAAATTTAAATATTAAAAGGATCATATATCTATTTAATAATTTAAATTTAAAAGATATTATTATCTATTTAAATTTAGATATTAAAATATGTTTAGTTAGAGTAAAACTTTTAGTTTTGATATTTTTAATGTAAAATATATTATTATCTGTTTAAATTTAGATATTAAAATATGTTTAGTTGGAGTAAAACTCTCACTTTTAATATTTTAAATTTAAAAGATATTATTATCTGTTTAAATTTAAATATTAATTGAGATTTAATTGGAGTAAAACTCTCTCAAAATTCACTTATAAATTCTGAGCAAATCTCTTAAGTTTTCTCACAACTCAAAATTTAAGAAGTTTTATTCTCTTGAAAGTATTTTATCTCATTCTAAGAAAATATTATTTTTCACTTAGTTTTTTTTTGGTGATAGTCGAATGCAAGGAAAATTTCTATGTTGTGTTACTGTAGTTAATCATCTAGTTGTTGTATCATATGAGACAGACGATCAAAGAATCTCGAGTACCAAAGAGTGGCTGAAAATCTTTTCAAGCAAACTGTGTAGCGACATGTTTCAATTGATTTCAATTGCATGATCAAATATAAAGAGTATTTTATTTACTTTTAATTCTATTTTATTTTTAAAGAATTTGTTTTTTTTTTACTTTTTCTCAGGTTCCAATTTAATTTCGGAAAACAATAACAAGGGTGTAATATAAAATCGACGGCATAATTCCGTAGTCGAGGAAAGAAATGAATATTGAGACATTTTTAATATCGTATTGACAAGGAACAGGTGCAGTAGTGAATCTTTGACACTTACTTTATTAAGATAGGTTCATATGCAGTGATAAGACATTTTTTTTTGAATAAGCAGTGATAAGAACATCTGTTCCTACTTCCTTGAGACGTATGTTTGCATTGCAAGATAGACCTTCATGGATATTCATTAAGAAATAAGTTATCAATTTGAAGTGAACAAAAACTGAAAACACAATAAAAGTTGTTACCTTGACAATATTCTGCGCTTCTCTTCCTTAGAAACTAAACAGCCTATGCATAAATTAGCCATACAAGGTATTAAAATATACGAGGGTCAGACAGGGACAGTGAAAGAAGATGGGTTGGCTACAAAACATTTATATGGAACAACATTCAATATGCCGTTTGACCATTTATGTAAAAAACCATGGTCAGTCCTACTAATAAATGGATTAACAGCACGACTTTACACCTTCAGACATTTATTTTTCTACATATAAGCACAGCCAAATGTTAGCAGAGTCGCCATCTCTGCCTTAGAGAGAAGGAAGAAACAGAGAAACACGGGAACTAGTATCAAATCTAACTTCTGGCTATGCCTCTTAAGAGATATCAAGTCTGATGTAGACGCAGGCCAGTCAGACCGAAAAGCTCATGACAATGAAGATAAAGGACAAGGGCAACTGAACACTCCGTCCAAAATATCAGAGTCCTCATTTCAAATTTACTCAACCCAACAAATATTATCTTATCCTACGATCTCAGACCAGATATCATGCCATTTCATTTACATTATAGACAATAATCAGCACATGCCATAAAGACAACATATTGTTACCAAGTATCAGATATGCTTTTACTCCGTTTTAACCTAGAATTGCCTAACTTGAAGAAATCAACCTAGACTTTAGCTTTTACCCCAGCACAAGCATTCACATACTAGCACATACAAAGGAGGAACACATTATCAAACATGCCAATCATACTAAAAATTGTTTTTCATTAGAAAAGACATAAATTGGCATTTTGAATAAGTTATTCTAGATGAAATTAAGGGTAAATTACATATTTGGTCACTCTCTCCCCTATTTCACTCATTGTACTTTACATATTTTCAATTTCCTCATTGAACTTAATACATTGGGTTTCTTTGGTCACTAGGTCGTTAAATAGTTAACGACGTTAAAATGAGCAGTTATATAGATACAAAATGATGTCGTTTTGGTGATTTTTTTTAAAAAACGGTGTCGTTTTGAACATTGTTAACTATTTAACGGAAGAAAGAGAAATTAAGTTCAATGACAAAAAAATCAAATGTATTAAGTTCGATGGAGAAATTAAAGATTTTAAAGTTCAATGAATAAAATAAAAGAGAGAGTAAAGTTCAATGATATTTTTGTAATTTACCC